GGCACAATGTTTCTTAAACTTGAAGGCAAATAATTTATCCAAAACTAACTATACAGTGCATTCGTAAAGTATTTAGACCCCTTCACTTTTTCCACATTTTGTTACATTACAGCCTTATTCTAAAATGGATAAAAAACATTTTTTCCCCCTCAATCTACACACAATACCCCATAATGACAAAGCAGGTTTAGATTTTTTTCAAAATGTGTGTGTGTGTGTATATATATATATATATATATATTATATACACACACACACACACACACACACACACACACACACATACACATACGCATAAGTATTCAGACCCTTTGCTATGAGACTCGAAATTTAGATCAGGTGCATCCTGTTTCCATTGATCATCCTTGAGATGTTTCTACAACTTGATTGGAGTCCACCTGTGGTAAATTCAATTGATTGGACATGATTTAAAAAAGGCACACACCTGTCTATATAAGGTCCCACAGGTGACAGTGCATGTCAGAGCAAAAACCAAGCCATGAGGTTGAAGGAATTGTCCGTAGAGCTCAGAGACAGAATTGTGTCGAGGCACAGATCTGGGGAAGGTTACCAAAAAAATGTCTGCAGCATTGAAGGTCCCAAAGAACCCAGTGGCCAAACAACATTCTCTGGTTTGATGAAACCAAGATTGAACTCTTTGGCTTGAATGCCAAGCGTCACGTCTGGAGGAAACCTGGCACCATCCCTACGGTGAAGCATGGTGGTGGCAGCATCATGCTGTGGGGATATTTTTTAGTTGCAGAGACTGGGAGACTAATCAGGATCGAGGCAAAGATGAACAGAGCAAAGTACAGAGAGATCCTTGACGAAAACCTGCTCCAGAGCGCTCAGGACCTCAGACTGGGGTGAAGGTTCACCTTCCAACAGGACAACAACCCTAAGCACACAGCCAAGGCAACGCAGAAGTGGCTTCGGGACAAGTCTCTGAATGTCCTTGAGTGGCCCAGCCAGAGTCCGGACTTGAACCCGATCGAACATCTCTGGAGAAACCTGAAAATAGCTGTGCAGTGACGCTCCCCATCCAACCTGAGGGCTTGAGAGGATCTGCAGAGAAGAATGGGAGAAAATCCCCAAATACAGGTGTGCCAAGCTTGTAGCGTCATACTCAAGAAGACTCAAGACTATAGTCGCTGCCAAAGGTGCTTCAACAAAGTATTGAGTAAACAAAGTCGCGTTGTCATTGTGGGGTATTGTGTTTATATACCAAAAAATATATATATTAATCAATTTTAGAATAAGGCTGTAACATAACAAAATGTGGAAAAAGTCAAGGGGTCTGAATACTTTCCAAATGCACTGTAAGTGTTGGTATTAGTTGGCAGGGCTCTTTGATTTAACATTAGTGTTTTTATGTAATTCTAATACCTTTTATGGTAGATGTTGCCTAAGTCCCCTTTTCCATCTGTTTCCATTTATTGACCAGAAATCAAAGCTTTTGCTTATTCCAAATTTATTGGGTGGAAAATGGTTGACGAACCTTAATAAAAGATATGAGTGAGTGATTGAGTGAGTGAAATGACATGGTCATGGGTCAATATGACATGTCATGGGTCCTTTTACTTGGAAATGACCAGAACAATCACAATGGGGATACACACACCAGGGCAAATGTTCTAGAGCATTGCGGATAAAAATGCCATGAAGAGCTGATGTGATTCCTTATTCTACATGTCAGAGAGGCATGTTTGTTCTACATAGAAATATACTATATATTTTCCAATTAAAATATCCCTTTTTCAAATCTAAAATAGCCTATGATCAGAAATCAATCCTAGTTGATATATTTGTGAGTTTGTGTAGGTCTAGTGGCCTACCATATGTTACCTTTTAAAGGGAACGTGGTAACACCTGCGCATTAATATGTTTACATTGACAGCATATGACATCATCCATATCAACTTTCATAAATGTGCGCACAACATGCAGACTTAAATATTAAAAGAGCTGTTCTTACCTGGCATGCAAGCGCTCAAAGTAACGAAGGTTGCAAAGACAGCAACCTGGGTTAGAAGCGTAGCGGCGGGCCTCGGTCGGTGATCGACACCTCTTCTCTGGGATGGCATGCTGTGAAGCGCTCCTACAACAGATACAACTGAGCTGGAGATGGGGAGTCGGGGTTGATCATTCCCCCATCCCCTTAGAACAGAAAGAAGCTCAGGAAATGTGCTCAGCTTTTGTAAATATGTAGTCAGAATGCGGAGTAGAAAAGGCGCTCAGTTGCAAGTACCAGATTCGGTAATAGAGCGCTGGTGAACGATTTCGTCTCCTATATGTTTTGCGCAGGATCCCATTATGTCGCTTTATGTGTGACGCTTGAAGAAACGAGTGTGGCAGGGTTGCTGTCGATCTGAGTTTCTACGGGGTTGTGAGAGAGTTACGTAGAAGATGTCGTCACGGCGCGCTCCTAATCAGTTTTACCGTACGCACAGCCGCAAATACAAGCCTCAGTGCAGACGCAGAGAAGCCAACAGGTACATTTTAATGGACACTATAGTGCTTCCCCGGTTGAGAGAAAAGTGTTCATAAAAAGCCCTTAGCTATTTTTTCAAGGATTAAAATAATCTGTATAAGGGCACACTGATGATTCATACATCATAAAACATGACACCAAGGTTACATAATAAAAGGCTGAAATAGATAAATGAAGTCTGGAATAGAGATACAAAACATTGTTCTATTTAATTATGTGGCTGAACCAATATCTCTTGAAATATTATCTATCGTTTTTAGAGGGTTTGGTTTGTGGAAGATTAATACTTAATGTGGGTGATACATACTATACATGTGTAGTAGGCCTATAGTTTCTAGCACAGGGGTATTCAACTCTTACCCTACAAGGTCCGGTCTGGAGCCCGCTGGTTTTCTGTTCTACCTGATAATTGACTGCACCCACCTGGTGTCCCAGGTCTAAATCAGTCCCTGGTTAGAGGGCAGAAATGAAAAAACGCAGTGGAACTGGCTTCCAGGTCCAGAGTTGAGTTTGAGGGCTCTAGAGTCTATACATTTGGCATTTCTCAAGACAACATTTAAAAACCATAATTCATCTATGGCAGGCTACTACATTGTCCTATTCTGGAATGTGCAACGATGCAAGGCACAGCAGCAAGTCTCTCTTCAGACTAACTGTAGACTGTGGCCAGATGGAAATATGACAGTCAATATGAATGCAAGACTAAATACTGCTCCACTTGAACCCAATAATCATTTAAAGGGGCAATCTGGGATTGGTCCATCCATTTTCGAATTTGAGAGTAGTTACATTTCTCCAGTCCCATCACTCAGCTGTTTAACAAACAAAGAAAAGTGGCAGGATACCCACGCTGTTTTTCAAATCCCAGATTGCCCCTTTAACAAACCTGTGCGTTCCAAAGGAAAAACACAGACAAACATATTGAATCAACAATTATTTATTATCACTAACAGTCCTTTGTATAACATTGAGTAAAATAAATCTAAAAGTACACTCATCAAAAGGGAAGAGGGGACAGGGACGTAATGCAGGGTGCAATACATAATAAATACAAATAATTGGGGAAATCATATGTGTATCAATGAAGGCATTGAAGAAAAAGTACAAAATAAACTTGTCACAGCTGCTAAGACAAGCATCTGTGGAAAGAGACTATATGATAGTAAAAAGGGTCAAAAACGTATGAAGTCAACATAGCATTAAATACAGTATGTACAGATGCTTTCTCTGTTGGGAATAGCTCAATGTTATAACTGAGGTATTCATATCAATAAGAATTTGTCAAATATTAAGGACAACATTTCAAATACCATTACTCATTTGCCTTGCTTTCCATGTCTTGCGATAACAGAACAGTTTTGCACATCAATGTTTGACGGATTGTCATTTCAATTTGAAATAGAAAATAGAAAGTACTTTGAATGAGATGTTTTCTAGTATTTCATAAGGCACTATTCCTACAGAATTGCTTGCACCAATTGCTTGCTTCCCAGACACCTATTCAACAAATCTCAATAAATACACGTCAGAAGAATATTATTGGAGATTGATGCACAATTATAAAAGTATTGGAATTACTCTGATAGAAACGGAAAAAGACAGGAAACTTCAGAGTAGAGAGCAACTGTAGGAAAGTAATGAAACAACATTACCAATAAGATGACAACAAGGACATATATTGGTCGTTGAACCCATTGGAATAAATACTCTATGATTTTGATTTAGCCATGAATAGCTATAGCTTTGCTCATGTTGTCATGGTCCACTCTAAATACTAATAAAACACAAACTAGGTAAGTCAGACACTTGACAGCATGTGGATTCAGGGTAAAGCCAATTCAAATGGTTGAGCAGTTGTGCAGGTCATAGAGGGCAAATTAATGATGATATTGAACTTTATATACCCCACCAAGAACACCTGAAGTGTGTGAGTTATTTTCTTATTTACAGAACACCATAATATGGGCACAACTGGGTCTTTCCATTGTGCTCATCATTCACTACCCAGTGAATATATAGTAAAACAAGACAATGGGGGGAGTTCCTAACCAGGTTCCAGATCAGTTTGTGCCCTTGCCAATTCCAAAGCCGTCATTGTCAAGCCATGTGTTTTTTTAATGACAATGAGTGACAGTGAGTTGGCATGAGCGCACAAACATCTGGCTCTCAAGCTACAATGCACATGCTATCCATTGGAATGTGGACGTAATCTATCAAAATATAGAAACAAGACGAAAACAACATATTGAGACATTGAAGTTGCACCTGAACCCCGCTCAATGTCCATCCAGACTGATGATTTGGTAGAGGTGGATAATATTGGTGCAAAAAGTAACTGTAATCTTGAAGACGAAAACTAAGCAGTAAAATTATTGGCAAAACTACTGTATACAGACCATTTACATTGATGAAATTGTCTATGCTAATGTAAGATTAATTGTGTATAATATCCCAGTCTTGGTAAAAAACAAAATCCAAATTAACGCCAGCATACAGCCCAAACAATGACTCATTCCTCACTGGCGCCCTCTGCCTTCTTCTTCTCTCCTGTCTCAGAGTTCTTGTTATGCGCTGCTGCTCCCTCCTGGGCCACAGTCCCTCCCTCTCCCTTTGCCTCTGCCTCAGGGATCAGCTCTGCTGGCTCTGGCCCCTCTGTACTGGGGGCAGACTTCTCCACTGCCTCACTGGTGGGAGACTGGAAGCCACTGTCGTCATGTGGAGGTGGAGGGGGCAGGGAGTTCAAATCCACTGTGGGTTGTGGATTTGCACTCTGGACATTTGAAGTGCTCTTAGTGCTCTCCGACTCCTCTGGCATTGGTGCAGGGACAGGGACTTGCTCCGTCTCCAGGGATGTTGGTGTGGCTGCAGGAATTTCTGTTGATGTGGCTGCAGGAATTTCTGTTGGTGTGGCTGCAGGAATTTCTGTTGGTGTGGCTGCAGGAATTTCTGTTGGTGTGGCTGCAGGAATTTCTGTTGGTGTGGCTGCAGGAATTTCTGTTGGTGTGGCTGCAGGAATTTCTGTTGGTGTGGCTGCAGGAATTTCTGTTGGTGTGGCTGCAGGCACTTGGAGCTCTGTGTCCAGGGCTGTTGGTAAGGGTGTGGGGATCTCCTCTTGTGCTATGGGTGTTACTGCTACCGCCTCCATCTGCGTTGAGGCTAGGGAAGATTCCTCCTCTGAACTGGAAGGAGAGGTTTCCTCTTGGGTTAGAACTGCTGGTGCCGAAGCCTCTTCCTGAACTGTTTTCAGAGATTCCTTCTCTTTGCTTAAGGGTACACTACTAACCTCCTGGCTTGAGGGGGACACTTCTGCTGCTGTCTCCTGTGAAACTGCAGCCGCCTCCACGCCTGGCTCGTTGTCCTCTTCCTGCACAGCATTCTCTATCTCCTGTATGGCACTCTCGATGGCTGATGCTGTGCTCTCTGAGTCCTGTAAGGAGCTCTCAATCTCTAGGAACTTCTTCTCACGCTCAGCTTCCTGGGTCACATCTTCTAAGATTTTGGTCTGCACCTCTGGGGCCTCACTCAAGATCGCGGCCGGCTCGCCTCCTTTCAGGACGGAGCCGTTCGTTAGGGCAGGGGATGGACTGTTCTCTGGCTGGACAGGAGGTGGAGGGGCCTTCTTTTTTTTTGAAGTGGTTCCATTAACTTTGACTGGTTCCTGGTGGATGATCTCTGGAGACAATGGAGCGTCTGCGCCCTGGTCCTCCCCCTCTCCCTCCCTCTCCTCAGGGATGCCGTCAACACTGGGCACCTCCAGGCAGGACTCGTTGACCAGGATGGGGGAGCCATCCAGCTGGATCATGGAGACCACCTGCTTCATCCTGCGCCTCCTATGGGCCTCCCCACTATCCCCAGTCTCCTCCCCCTCTACCTCAACTTGTCCCTGCCCCTCCTCCGGTCCTGTCCCGTACTCCCCAGCCCAGTCGATGGCAGGGTTGTCCCCCAACAGGTTCAGGTTGGGGTCACTGCTGGTCAGTACAATGCTGTCCCTGTACAGGTTGTGTCTCCTCTGGACTGCTGCCTCCTTCACAGCTACACAGGGAGGAAGAAAGAAAGCATAGAAAGGGAGAGGAAAAGAGAGAGAAAGGTCATTAAGACATTGTACACCAGAGGTTTGTTCCATTTCATTTCAGAAAGCCATGACACCCACCATCTCAGATTGTTCTGAAATGGTTTCTGTAGTTGTATTATTTGTTTCAACATTATATATATGTATTTCAATATTATTTTGTTGAAAGACATTTTGAACTCTTGAGAAATTAAGCTATTTGATTGCACACAAATTGGCAATTTCAATTGATAGAATTCATATAATATTCATTCAATATAATACCCAACATCCAATTTCACAAGGCCAAATCAGAAAGTTCAGCCCCCCTTTAATAAACACAAGTGACCAGCAAAATGGATAAAAGTACCAGCATGAACAGTGGCATCTAATGGGCAAAACCTGGTACTTTCACACTAATTTATGGGCGGAAATGCAAGTGACTTCAATGGCAAATGTCTTAACAGGGTGAAAGAAACCTCACCAAATTCACTGAAAATGCATTACATAGTATGAATAAACAACACTCCAAGCCGCAGCGTCATACTACCTGTCAAACATAGAGAACTGATACTGTATACTGACCATTGGGATGGGCTTGGTGTATGGTTTGTGGGGTCCGTGGGAGGCCTTTGACCATTTATTTGGATTCCTCACGTCTTAGACATTATTAAGAAGTGGTTTGCACCAAATTGGAAGTTGGGTAATATATTTACTGAATATTATATGAATCCTATAAATTGAAATGGCAAATTTGGGTGCAACAATTAGCTTAATTTCTCAATAATCTTTCAAATAATCTTTCAACAAAATAATGCTAATATTATCTATTTCTAACTACAGAAACTATTTCAGAATAATCAGAGATGGCGGCTGTCAAAATCTTATTTCTTGTGCTTTTGAGGTAGAATGACTCAGGAGCGGTATCTCTTCTAACACATAGTTTTTGCATATCACTAGAACCTGGAGTTTTTCCTAGGTCATTTGGTGAGGAAGAACTCTAGGCCCTAAATATAGCTTGTGAGTACACTTATTCCATGCACTGAATACATAAGGCAGGGATCATCAACTAGATTCAGCAGCGGGACACATTTTTCTTGAGTGGATGGTCACGGGGCCGGAACATAATTACAAATAATTTGTAGATTGCAAATTGACCGCAAGAAGCCCAACAGATATAAAGTTGAACTAAAACATAATTTCAAACCTTGCTTATTTGTATACGATCACATACATTGAGTTTAAAAAACATTAGGAACACCTTCCTAATATTGAGTTTGCCCTCAGAACAGCCAAGGTGTCAAAAGCTTTCCACAGGGATGCTGGCCCATGTTGACGCCAATGCTTCACACAATTGTGTCAAGTTGGCTGGATGTCCTTTGGGTGGTGGACCATTTTTGATACACACGGGAAACCTTTGAGCGTGAAAAACCCAGCAGTGTTGCAGTTCTTGACACATTCAAACCGGTGTGCCTGGCACCTACTACTATACCCCGTTCAAAAGGCACTTAAATCTTTGGTCTTGCCCATTCACCCTCTGAATGGCACACACACACAATCCATGTTTCAATTGTCACTTCATCTACACTGATTGAAGTGGATTTAACAAGTGACATCAATAAGGAATCATAGCTTTCACCTGGATTTCCCTGGTTAGTTTAGGTAATGGAAAGAGCAGGTGTTCCTAATGTTTTGTAAACTCTGTGCGGATTTGCTTGTGTTTTTACAGTATTTTATGTCTAACCCCTCCATTAGTTTTTTCAATTAATAAATGTTTTGCTCAGAAAACTTGGGGGGCCAAATCAAATCACCGCCAGTTGGTGAACCCTGACATAAGGCATTCAAATATAAGAGAAGTATATGTCTGTGTCCGAAATGTCACCCTATTCCACCTATTGACCAGGGCCCATAGTAATGCAATACAAAGGGAGTAATGGTGCCATTAAGGGCAAAGCCACTGTTTCCGCTATGAGACTCACCCATCATGATGTCCTTCATGACAGAGTGCAGCACCACTTCCTCAAAGATGTTCTCCACCAGGATGAAACGAGAGAAGTCCTCAAAAATCAGCTCCTGGAAACGAGGCAGCTCCTGGACACGGCAGAGGAACAAGTATGAGAACAAAGGACCCATGTCATATACACACTCAGGAATACACTCAGGAGAGACATGCAGAAAAAAGACTAAATTAGCAATGTGAGTGACTAAGGGAATGCTATCGCATGGAAGTGTAACGTCAGTTTCACACAATGTATGCATTTGACCCGTCTAGACACACTGTCTAGCCGGCTCCAGCTGCTAGACCTACAGACGCGATGGAGGGAGTGAGCTGCTTCAGCATGTAAGGGATGAAGATCTGAAGAAGAGCCTCTCTGAAGAACCTCTTCCGGACTGTGCTGCTGTCATAGTCAAATTTCTGAGGACAGACAGGAGGGAAATAGAAGAAAAGGAGATGTTATGATTCTTCAGAGAAAATTAATGCAGTATCAATCCTATTTTGCCCATCCATGTGCCTAGCAAGTTATATATGACATATTTTTGTATGCGGAGCCATTACATGTTGCGTATCTAGATTCACTGGTTTTACGCACCAACAAAACCTTTTTGGGGGAGAGCGCAATGGTCTTGATTAGTCATCGTGCCTACAGCCATCCCTGGGCCAACAGCCATCCCTCCCCTGTCTGCCTTACCTTGATGACCCGGTCCTGGCAGCGCTGGATGTTCTTACAGAGACCCTCGGACCCCTGGCCCTCCAGACTCTGGTGAAGGATCTGCTCAAAGGTGTACACAGCATCGTCCATTTGCTGCACAGAAAAAGGTTTGTTTATCAGTTTACATTTTAGTCATTTAGCAAACGCTGTTATCCAGAGGGACTTACAGTCAGTGCATTCAACTACGTTTAGTAGGGAAAAACAACCACAAATCACAGTCAAGTAAACCTTTCCTCAAAATGGTCTATACTCTATCAGACAGAAAGAGAATGCAGAGAAACCGGTTTACAAAATGGATCCTCATGTGAGCGTGTCGGTAACTCAATGAACTGGTGAACTCAAATAAGCAGTCATCCGACAGTGTATAGATCAAGGCCATGATTTGCTGCTTGCTGAATTTCCAAAAGCAAAGCCAAGAACAAAACATTCCATCAGTTTTCATATATCCACCACAAGGGGGCACCATCTTCCCAACAATTCCTTTTTAAGTGTAGCACATCAAAATAGTATTGCTTTCTATATACACACACACAAGTTGAATCTTCTCCAATACAACCCTTCCCTCCTTTCATTCTAAACAAATCATACTCTGAACCCTGAGGGTAGATAGCTGCTATTGTATATCTGAACTATAAACAGAATCTTGGATGCAAAGCAAAGTTCAATTTTCGAACTCTCTGAGACCTTAGCCCCTGTCTCAGCCCCAGCAGCTTCTAGCCACTACAAAGAGGACAGCCTATGTGATTCACAGTGGGGGACAGAGTGGTGAATACTTGGCTCTAGGATATCTCTCCAACAACCTACAGCCTGTCAACAGAGACCAGCCAGCCAATGACAGCCAACCATAGTCCCACCACTCACTAACCAGAATGTGCTTGTTCTCCAACCACAATAATAAAGAACTCCCCATAGCTCTGAGGATCTCAGACAAAACAGCACAACCAACAACCACAAAAGAGACCTGCAGGCCGCATCCTTTCAGCACTCACACACCAGCCAGGAACTCAAATGGAGACATTTCAGCAATTATTTAATTAGTACCTCACCATACTCATACACCATATATTAGTTTAGTGAAAAACTGTCCCCATCAGCATTAAGAGGTTGTGTCACGTTTTGCAGCATGTAGTAAGGTGTAGGAGGGTGTAGTTTACATTTTGATCATTTACGAGGCACTCTTATCCAGAGTGACATACAGCCAACGCATTCAACTAAGGTAGGTAAGACAACATATCACAGTCATTGCAAGTAAAACCTCCCTCCTCAATCAGTGCTAGTTAGAAAAGTTATACCTCTCTCATGAGGATCTGTGCCCTCTGGACGAACACGGAGGGGCTGGAGACGTCGAACCTCTGCTGCAGGCCGTCCAGACTCAAGTCCTCTACTTTCTCATAGCAGCTCTGCATCTTCACCGGGTGGAACGCCAGCATAGAGATCTTCTCCATGTGCTGACGATGGAGGGAGTGAGGGAGAGAAGGAAGAGTGAGGCTGGGTTGACAGAATTAACACATAGACCAGGCTTGGATGATACATGTCTTTCAATTCACTCATCAATGTGTATGCTACACTTCAGATATCACCTAAATGGGTGTATTAAAAGTATGCAGTTAAACTGTTATGCTGGATCATTAGACATACTCAGAGACTGAGCCCGCTAACCCATAGAAATGAATAACAACGCTCTCACCTCTCCCAGTTTCTCCTTGGTGCTGTCGTTCAGCGTGTTCTTGCTCATGTCCACCAGCTCTCTGAAGAAGACGTCCCTGACCTCAGAGAATCCTCGACTGGTGGGCTCCATCAGGGCCTCCAGGATAGAGCTGATGTAGGGCTGGATACTCACCTTCAGCAGCTTCTCTGCCTTAGGCAGCGCCACCGCTGGGGGGGAAGACAACGAGTGAGAGGATGTCAACACACAGAGTAGTCTAGGCTATATTACTTTATAGACTGGCAGAAGTTCCACTGTGACTCGTTGTGCAACACATGCTTATCTTAAGATATGATTCGGCCAAAGGAATTCAACTCCTATCAGTTCAGACAGACTAAGTGTGACTAAGTCACCCTCGTAACTGTTGATTGAATGCTGCTATTCTTCCTGTGTTCCACTCCATGGACACAGTCTGTCAACATAGCACAGAACTGTCTAACTGTTGGTAAATACTTGTCACGCCACTGGTAAAGAGCACCCAGAATGATATGCAGGCCAGATATGTACTGTAGGTATTCAGAGTATGACTAGAATCTACCATTGTACTGCAGCTACTGGTATTTACCTACTGTGTCCCAAGTTGCCCTGGCTTGGGCACAGATCTAGGATCTGCTTACTTCCCCAAAATCCATTACTGGGTGACGGCAAAACTGACCTTGGGTCAATGACTGGGACTAGGGCTAAACTTCATCTTACTGCGGAGGGCTCATCCCTTTTAAATATATTTACTGTGGGATATTGATTTATTTTATAAAGATGGGAGAGTGAAGAGGAGACAGGAAAGGTGGGAGAGTTGGCAAGTCAGAAGTGCAGTGGTGCGGATTCTAACTCATGCCGACCCTAGTATACATGAGCTGGACCACACAGGTCATGGAGAGGGCTCACCTTTGATTTTGTTGGTGACGTGCTCCTTGGAGGTGATGATCTGGTCCATGTCTGTGCGTATGGAGGCCTCTAGCGGGGGACGTCCGTCCTCACAGCTCTGCACCACAGCCTCATACTGGGCCTGGGCCTGCATCACCACCAGACCATACACAGCGTCGCAGATCTGCATGGGGACACAGAGGACTGTTATGTCTGCATCTTGTATTGAGTAAAGCCACTGGGCCGAAATGTTGACCAAAGTGCCATATTATCCACCTTTGTGAACATGGAATAAAAATATGTAGTTCACCAGCATTTTTGCATCCCAACACGCACATGGATTCATGTACAAACAGGGAACTCAGAAGCTGGGTAAGGATAAGACATTTTCCCAAGTTGTGCATGCCTTGCTTAGTATTAAAAGGAGGTATTTGGTCAGTTCTGTGAGATAGTACTTACCAGCATCCAGTTCCTCTGCCTTTCGTGCATTTTGCCTTTCAGTCCCGGGGTTATGAGATCCCTGAGCTCAGGGAGAAGTGTCTCCATCACCAGGTTGGCCAGAATCTACAGGGATAGTAGTGGATTTGAGATCAGACGACAACAATACATGTGGTGACGCTGTGCTGTTTGAGATGCAAGACAAATATCCCAAAAAGGGACAAAGTGATTAATGAACTACTGAGACCAATGCAGCCATACTTCCAGAGTGGTACAATTCTTATGACCTAATAAGGTCATACCAGCTCACTCTCTCCACTCATTGGGAGTGGGGCTAATCTATGGCCTCAGGGCAGAGTATTTATTTATACATGGGAAGTGGTTCATTTGAGATCCCATTCATGCTTTGTATCCGCTGGAGGGCATCTCCAAAGGTCCGTATACTAGTCTACTGTACTTTACCCTCTCAGGTGTGGTCTGCACTCCACACTACAGATATGTCAGAGCTATCGAAACCTGAGAACTGGTTTTTCTAGCCTGATTGCTCTAGATCAGTGGTATTCAACTCTTACCCTACGAGGTCCGGAGCCTGCTGGTTTTCTGTTGTACCTGATAATGAATTGCACCCACCTGGTGTCCCAGGTCTAAAATCAGTGGAACTGGCTTTGAGGTCCAGAGTTGAATATAAGGGGCCCTAGACATTCATCACAATATAGTCATGATAAATATCTTCTATTGTATTTATTTGGCCTTGAAGTCAAGAGCCTTGAGCTAGGCTGCATTGGATGCGAGTTACTGATCTTGCATGATGATATGGCACAGAGGAATGTGTAGGAGCAGAGTTGGCAATGCTGCCAGAGATTCTCTGTTCTACCATTCTGGTGTATTTCAACTTGAAACAGAACTATGAGTGCTGGTCTAATCTGTAGGTGTCTCATTGGTGGTGTGTCACAGCAGGACACAATGAATGACCACCACTGTTTGGTTATTGTTCAAATGTAAGCCAAGGAGTCCACCGAGGCTGCTGTCACTGCTGCTACAAGCATAACAGTGTCAAGCTATCTGTTCTGATCGGTCTCTTAAGCCTTGTTCACAATGCTGGCCTTAATGCTCAAAATCCGTTTTGTTTTTCAAATCTGTTTTGGAATATTGACCGTCCAAAAAGCAAGTTACAAGTGACCAAATAGGATGTGTGTGTGTTCAGACAGCAGTCATTTTCTGACAAGGCTATGCTAGTTGTTATAGTAATGGAGGGTGTGTGTGCAGTGGTGTAGGCTGATTGGTGGTGGTGCTCGTACTTCCTACCACGCAGACGTTATGTAGCAAGCTAAGGTGACAATGCCTGCCATGGACGTTTCCCAGCTGCTTTGAATGTTCAAAATCATAGTGTAAGAACACTTTTAAAGCCTCAAATGAGTCAGTTTTGTCTAGCCACAACAGCCAACTAGCTAGCTAGGTAGCTGTTTAGCTTTCTAGCACATTCACTAATTTCTTTGTAAACTGTTCTTGTCATACTATCAACAGAGTAGCTAGCAAACAACAAGATATGCCAAATAACAGTCTAAAAACCACTTGAGGGTAAATAATAATAAGGCGCATGGCCAGGAATCAGATTTGTATCGGACTTCAAACCACTTACGATGGTTTGAAATGTGGCTTGAAATACCAGATTCCATGTGGCTTCTGGCTGTCGATTCAGATTCGAATCGATATACAGTACCAGTCAAAAGTTTGGACACACCTACTCATTCAAGGTTTTTCTTTATTTTTCAAAAACTATTTTCTACATTATAGATTAATAGTGAAGACATCAAAACTATGAAATAACACAAGTTTTAAACAAATCCAAATATATTTGATATTCTTCATATTGCCACCCTTTGCCTTGATGACAGCTTTACACACTCTTAGCGTTCTCTCAACCAGCTTCACCAGCCTTTTGGCATGTCCCTCTGACTTCTATTAATATTTTAACCCACTTAACACAAATGTTTAAGCATTTTCATCATTGTAAAGCCCAAGTTATTTTGTTGCTTTGACAAAGTCATTTCTGAAAATCATAATTTATATTTCCTGTGATTAGTGATACATTTTCATGAAGAAGAAAAACATGTCCCACATTTTAAGGTCAACCCTGTTACATGAACTGAATTCACATTTTAATATGGTGAAACTATTCCTTTAAAAAAACAAAAACTTTTCAAACGAACATCTAATAGTCAAATCATAATATAAAAGCAGGTGAGCTCATTATACTCTGTCCATTTTCTGGTCTTTCATGGTGGGAAACTGAGTGGGTCAAGTATAACACGTCAACCCTGTTACCCACAGATAGACAGGCTAGAATTATTTTACCAATAAAAAAATGTTGGTGGAGCCATGCATTCAATTGCCCCCCCCTGTTACACACAACAAGCTTCCATTTCCTGTCACAAGGGGATTAATGACTGATTTAAGATGAAATCGTCAATGCCGTTACGGTCAACCCTGTTACTTTATTTGGCACTTAATAGGCACTTACTTAAGTAATTTTTTTATTTAATGTCTTGAGATCGGAAAACATGTTTTTTTATAAGTTGAACATGTGCTCATCATGACAGAATGTTAAAATTATGACTTGGTGAAATATCAGTTAACTGGAGATTGATGTTTAGAGGAGTACAAAACATATCTGATATACACTGATTTCACAAAACATTAGGAACACCTTCCTAATATTGAGTTGCACCCCCATTTGCCCTCAAAAGAGCCTCAATTAAATCGGGTCATGGACTCTACAAGGTGTCAAAATGCTGGCCCATGTAGACTCCAATGCTTCACACAGTTGTGTCAAGTTGGTTGGATGTCCTTTGGGTGGTGGACCATTCTTGATACACACAGGAAACTGTTGAGTGTGAAAACCCCAGCAGCATTGCAGTTCTTGACAAACCGTTGTGCCTAGAATCTACTACCATACCCTGTTCAAAGGCACTTCAATCTTTTGTCGTTCCCATTCACCCTCTGAATGGCACACATACACAATCCATTCTCAATTGTCTCAAGGCTTAAAAATCCTTCTTTAACCGGTCTCCTCCCCTTCATCTACACTGATTGAAGTGGATTTAACAAGTGACATCAAAAAGGTATCATAGCTTTCACCTGGATTCACCTGGTCAGTCTAATGGAAAGAGCAGGTTTTCCAAAAATGTTGTACACTGTATATATATACCGGCTGTCTGTCTGTTAAAAGTGTGTGTTGTGTCTGACCTTTGGGTCTATGGGAGTCCTGACTCTGCGGCTAACTCTGAGCCCTAGGCTCCTCGTCTGACCTTTGGCTCCCTCTATCTCCCACTGGGACTGTCTATTAAATACTAAGAATGATGGGTATGAGTCAAGGCCCCCAGGCCCAGACATCACACACACACACAACCATCTGCTTTGGGTCTGCCTTCCACTCAGTTCTGCGGGGGGGGGGGGGGGGGGGGGGGGGGGGGTATGGTAGGCACAGTGAGCTCATGCCTACAGGATACTGTGTCACCAGGGCAGGGGGCATAGTGACATCATGATCCCTGATTGTATCCCAAATTACACCCTATTCCCTACATAGACCCATTTAGCTCTGGTCAAAAGTAGTGCACTACAGTGTATTCAGAAAGTATTCAGACCCCTTGACTTTTTCTATATTTTGTTATGTTGCAGCCTTATTAAAAAATGGATAAAAAACTCAATCTACACACAATACTCCATAATGACAAAGCGAAAACAGGTTTTTAGATTTTTTTGCAAATGAATAAAAAACTGGTACCTTATTTACATAAGTATTCAGACCCTTTGCTATGAGACTTGAAATTGAGCTCAGGTGCAACCTGTTTGCATTGATCATCCTTGAGATGTTTCTACATCTTGATTGGAATCCACCTGTGGTAAATTCAATTGATTGGACATGATTTGGAAAGGCACACACCTGTCTATATAAGGTCCCACAGTTGAAAGTGCATGTCAGAGCAAAAACCAAGCCATGAGGTCGAAGGAATTGTCCGTAGAGCTCCGAGACAGGATTGTGTCGAGGCACAGATCTGGGGAAGGGTACCAAAACATTTCTGCAGCATTGAAGGTCCCCAAGAACACAGTGGCCTCCATCATTGTTAAAAGGAAGAAGTTTAGAACCACCAAGACTCTTCCTAGAGCTGGCTGCCCAGCCAAACTGAGCAATCGGGGGAGAAGGGCCTTGGTCAGGGAGGCGACCAAGAAGCCGATGGTCACTCTGACAGAGCTCCAGAGTTCCTCTGCGGAGATGGGGGAACTTTCCAGAAGGACAACCACCTTTGCAGCACTCCACCAATCAGGCCTTTATGGTAGAGTGGCCAGACGGAAGACACTCCTCAGTAAAAGGCACATGACAGTCCGCTTGGAGTCTGCAAAAGGCACCTAAAGAACTCTCAGATCATGAGAAACAAGATTCTCTGGTCTGATGAAACCAAGATTGAAATCTTTGGCCTGAAAGACAAGTGTCACGTCTGGAGGAAACCTGTCACCATCCCTACGGTGAAGCATGGTGGTGGCAGCATCATGCTGTGGGGATGTTTTTCAGCAGCAGGGACTGTGACACTAGTCAGGATCGAGGGAAAGATGAACGGAGCAAAGTACAGAGAGATCCTTGATGAAAACCTGCTCCAGAGCGCTCAGGACCTCAGACTGGGGCAAAGGTTCACCTTCCAACAGGACAACGACCCTAAGCACACAGCCAAGACAACGCAGGAGTGGCTTCGGGACAAGCCTCTGAATGTCCTTGAGTGGTCCAGCCAGAGCCCGGACTTGAACCCGATCGAACATCTCTGGAGAGACCTGAAAATAGCTGTGTAGCGACGCTCCCCATCCAACCTAACAGAACTTGAGAGGATCTGCAGAGAAGAATGGGAGAAACTCCCCAAATACAGGTGTGCCAAGCTTGTAGCGTCATACCCAAGAAGACTCGAGGCTGCAATTGCTGCCAAAGGTGCTTCAACAAAGTACTGAGTAAAGGGTCTGAATACTTATGTAAATGTGATCTATCCGTTTTTTTTTTTTTTTTTACATTTGCAAACATTTCTAAAAACCTGTTTTTGCTTTGTCATTATGGGATATTGTGTGTAGATTGATGAGGTAAAAAAAACAATTTAATCAATTTTAGAATAAGGCTGTAACGTAACAAAATGTGGAAAAAGTGAAGGTGTATGAATGCACTGTATGTAGGTAATAGGGTACCATTTAGGACATAGCCCCTGTGTGAGTAGCCAGTTCCTGTTGCTGTTCTCTCTGGGGTAGCTGTTCAGGAAATGTACACTACTGGAACGTGACTTGGAAGGAAAATAGGTATTCTGATCAGTATTTTGCTGACCAGGTCTCTGATTGTACTGTAGAGAATCAAAGTACCTAATACTTAGATTTGTTTGAATGTCTTACATTCTTGAATAAGGTCTCTTACCAAAACCTTGACACCAACAATGTGCAGGGGTAATATCATGCAGACAGACAGGCATTCTCTCTTCTAAAACATACAACACGCAGAGAGAGTTTCTGTGTCCCAAATGACACTCCATTTCCTACATAGTGCACTACTTTTGACAAGAGCCCGATGTAGTGACGTAGTGCACTATCTAGTGAATAGGGTGCCATTTGGGACATAGCCAGTGTCATTGGCTGTGCCATAATTACCTGTGGGGGTGTGCCACACATCATCTCCCAGGTGCCATACTGCCCATGGGCCTGGCGGTAGAGCCTCACTGAGTCTGTGAAGGCTGGCGTCTGCACCTTGCTCTCCTCCAACAAACCTATGGGGTAACCATAGAGGAGCAGCATTGTTAGTGGAAGTGGACATTGTGAAGGTTGATTTGAAAACATTGTACAAGTTTGATAATTTATCATAAATCAGCACTAGCCTGGTCAAGCAGACTGACTGCTGTGCTCACATATCAAACCAAATTGTGAGCCATCACACAATCAGATGGTTCCACCAGGCTAATCTCAATTGAAATCTTGAATTCAGGATGACAGAAATATACTTGAAAAGGAGTTTCCATGTATTCCTAGAGTCTGTTGTAACTTGTGCAGAAAGAGAACTGTCTAGTACAGTTCATTCGGAAAGTATTCAGACCCCTTACCTTTTTCCACATTTTGTTACGTTACAGCCTTATTCTGAAATTGATTAAATAAATAAAAATCCTCATCACTCTACACACAATATCCCATAATGACAAAGCGAAAACAGGTTTATTTTTTGTGTGCAAATTTATTAAAAATAAAAAACAAGAAATACCTTATTTACATAAGTATTCAGACCCTTTGCTATGAGACTCGAAATTGAGCTCAGGTATATCCTGTTTCCATTGATCATCCTTGAGATGTTTCTACAACTTGATTGGAGTCCACCTGTGGTAAATTCAATTGATTGGGCATGATTTGGAAAGGCACACACTTCTCTATATAAGGTCCCACAGTTGACAGTGCATGCCAGAGCAAAAACCAAGCCATGAGGTCGAAGGAATTGTCCATCGAGCTCCGAGACAGAATTGTGTCGAGGCACAGATCTGGGGAAGGGTACCAAAAAATTTCTGCAGCACTGAAGGTCCCCAAGAACACAGTGGCCTCCATTATTCTTAACCACCAAGAACCTTCCTAGAGCTGGCCGCCCGGCCAAACTGAGCAATCGGTGGAGAAGGGCCTTGGTCAGGGAGGTGACCAAGAACCCGATGGTCACTCTGACAGAGCTCCAGAGTTCCTCTGTGGAGATGGGAAAACCTTCCAGAAGGACAACCATCTCTGCAGCACTCTACCAATCAGGCCTTTATGGTAGAGTGGACAGACGGAAGCCCCTCAGTAAAAGGCACATGACAGCCCGCATGGAGTTTGCCAAAAGGCACCTAAAGGGCTCTCAGACCATGAGAAACAAGATTCTCTGGTCTGAGGAAACCAACATTGAACACTTTGGCCTGAATGCCAAGCATCACGTCTGGAGGAAACCTGGCACCATCCCTACGGTGAAGCATGGTGGGGGCAGTATCATGCTGTGGGGATGTTTTTCAGCAGCAGGGACTGGGAGACTAGTCAGGATTGAGGGAAAGATGAACAGAGCAAAGTACAGAGAGATCCTTTGCAAAAGGATTCTAAAAACCTGTTTTTGCTTTGTCATTATGGGGTATTTTGTGTAGATTGATCAGGGGAAAAAACACTTTAATCCATTTCAGAATAAGGCTTTAACGTAACCATATGTGGAAAAAGTCATGGGGTCTGAATACTTTCCGAATGTGGACCAAGGGACACCATCTAAATATGGAGGGAAGAGTGAAACAGTCATATGCAGTGTGACATCAGTGACCACACCACACAGAGTCCTCTGTAAAGTCAACTGGATCATTCTCAAGTCACCAGTGGCTAGGGTTATTTATCAGAGCTTTGCCATGGCAACCCGGGGAGACTCCACAGTAACCAACTTTAGGGAAATGATTATCTTCCCTAAAAAAAAAAGAAAAAAAGAAAAGCCCAATCTAAATATTGAAGTAGTAGCTACATAATGTGCCAGTAATCGCTTGATAACTGTACATATTGGTTTGGCAACTGGGTTTGTTTTGACCATAAAGTCATAGTTTTGATGGCAAACGTAAAAAGCTTCTTAATTGGGCCAGAGTGACTGGTGAACAAGGCTAAATATAACAGATTGTGCACACAGACACACCTCCCGCATAGATAATCTTCAGCTCCACTGAAAGAGTCAACTTGAAGTATTTATGAATGTATCCAGCTGTGTTTGGATCAGGAATCAGACTCTGGTATGTAGGCTCACCATCTAAACATATACAGTGCATTCGGAAAGTATTCAGACCCTTTGACTTTTTCCACATTTTGTTACGTTACAGCCTTATTCTAAAATTGATTAAATTGTTTTTCCCCCCTCAATCTACACAAAATACCCCATAATGACAAAGCAAAAACTGGTTTTTAGAATGTTTTTGCACAGAAGAAAAAGCCTTGATTCCTCTTGCGTATGAAGCTTGACACACCTTTATTTGGGTAGTTTCTCCCATTCTTCTCTGCAGATCCTCTCAAGCTCTGTCAGGTTGGATGGGGAGCCTTGCTGCACAGCGATTTTCAGGTCTCTCTAGAGATGTTTGATCGGGTTCAAGTCCTGGCTCTGGCTGGACCACTCAAGGACATTCAGAGACTTGTCCCGAAGCCACTCCTGCATTGTCTTGGCTGTGTGCTTAGGGTCGTTGTCCTGTTGGAAGGTGAAACTTCGTCCCAGTCTGAGGTCCTGAGTGCTCTGGAGCACGTTTTCATCAAGGATCTCACTGTACTTTGCTCCGTTCATCTTTCCCTCGATCCTGACTAGTCTCCCAGTCCATACCGCTGAAAGACATCCCCACAGCATGATGCTGCCACCACCATGCTTCACCGTAGGGATGGTGCCAGGTTTCCTCCAGAGGTGATGCTTGGCATTCAGGCCAAAGAGTTCAATCTTGGTTTCATCAGACCAGAGAATCTTGTTTCTCATGGTCTGAGAGTCTTTGGGTGACTTTTGGCAAACTGCAAGCGGGCTATCATGTGCCTTTTACTGAGGAGTGGCTTCCGTCTGGCCACTCTACCATAAAGGCCTGATTGGTGGAGTGCTGCAGAGGTGGTTGTCCTTCTGGAAGGTACTCACATCTCAAAAGAGGAACTCTGGAGCTCTGTCAGTGTGACCATCGGGTTCTTGGTCACCTCCCTGGCCAAGGCCCTTCTCCCCTCGATTGCTCAGTTTGGCTGGGCGGCCAGCTCTAGGAAGAGTCTTGGTGGATCTAAACTTCTTCCATTTAGGAATGGAGGCCACTGTGTTTTTGGGGACCTTCAATGCTGAAGAAATGTTTTGGTACCCTTCCCCAGATCTGCGCCTCGACACAATCCTGTCTCAGAGCTCTACGGACAATTCCTTCGACCTCATGGCTTGGTTTTTGCTCTGACATGCACTGTCAACTGTGGGACCTTATATAGACAGGTGTGTGCCTTTCCAAATAATGTCCAATCAATTGAATTGACCACAGGTAGAAACATCTCAAGGATGATCAATGCAAACAGGATGCACCTGAGCTCAATTTCAAGTCTCATAGCAAAGGGTCTGAATACTTACGTAAATAAGGTACCAGTTTTTTTTTCTGTTTTTTATTTTTTATAAATTTGCAAAAAAATCTAAAAACCTGTTTTCCCTTTGTCATCATGGTATATTGTGTGTAGATTGATGATAACAAAATATGGAAAAAGTCAAGGGGTCTGAATCCTTGCAGAATGCAGTACAGGAGGAGAGAGGTAGCCTACCCACAGCAACAGAACAAATCATGTGAAATCCTGTCTTGTGATAAAAATGGGGAATTCAGAAATGAATTAACTCTAGCCATGACAAAGACAGGAAGTGTGTTGTGCAGGGCAGGGTGGGGGAGTGAGTGGGCTGTGAGAGTGGGGCCTGGAACATGAATTAGAGGGGGAAGTAGAGCTTCTAGCAGAGCACATAGCTACAGGCAGGAAGTCCACAGCCTCAGACTACCTCCCTATCTGAAAGCTGTGTATGTGTGTGTGTGTGTGTGTGTGTGTGTGTGTGTGTGTGTGTGTGTGTGTGTGTGTGTGTGTGTGTGTGTGTGTGTGTGTGGGAGCCAAGCCATTTATCTTGGCACTGCCTCATGAGAACATGTAGGGGATTTCTGCCATCCCAATAAAGTCTGTACCCCGGATCTAAAGTCAAACTAGACTAAAAGACTAGTACATGGTGAAATTCCAGTACTGTATATCAATTGATCAGCATTTCTGTAGAGAAAGAATGCCCTGGTCAGTTTGAGGCTGGATGTGACTCAGCAACACCTCCTTACAGTGAGTAGTGTTGTGTGTGTGTGCGTGCGTGTGTGAAGACTGCTATGAACCAGTAATCTGCCTGCGCAGCCAACACATACTGTAAGAACTATATGGAGCCACACACACACACACACACACACACACGGCCTGTGTCACAGCTGAGGCATGTTAGTTATTAGGGGCATTTCCTTTTAGCAATTTCTGTTCGGTCAGATTTTAAAATAGTCTGCTTTTTTGTCAGAGCATTCTCTCAAACAACTTCATGAGGTAGTCACCTGAAATGCATTTCAATTAACAGGTGTGCCTTCTTAAAAGTTATTTTGTGTAATTTCTTTCCTTCCTAATGCGTTTGAGCCAATCAGTTGTGTTGTGACAAGGTAGGGGTGGTATACAGAAGATAGACCTATTTGGTAAAAGACCAAGTCCATATTATGGCAAGAACAGCTCAAATAAGCAAAGAGAAACAACAGTCCATCATTACTTTAAGACATGAAGGTCAGTCAATCTAGAATATTTAATGAACTTTGAATGCTTCTTCAAGTGCAATCGCAAAAACCATCAAGCGCTATGATGAAACTGGCTATCATGAAGACCGCCACAGGAAAGGAAGACCCAGAGTTACCTCTGCTGCAGAGGATAAGTTCATTAGAGTTACCAGCCTCAAATCGGCAATTAACTGCACCTCAGATTGCAGCTCACAGAGTTCAAGTAACAGACACATCTCAACATCAACTGTTCAGAGGAGACTGTGTGAATCAGGCCTTCATGGTCGAATTGCTGCAAAGAAACCACTACTAAAGGAGACCAATAAGAAGAGACTTGCTTGGCCAAGAAACACGAGCAATGGACATTAGACCGGTGGAAATTTGTCCTTTGGTCTGGAGTCCAAATTGGAGAATTTTGGTTCCAACCGCTGTGCCTTTGTGAGACGCGGTGTGGGTGAATGGATGATCTCCGCATGTGTATTTCCCACCGTAAAGCATGGA